GGGTGCCTGCTGGGGCGCGGCGGTGCCTTTTTGTGTCGTTGCTTTTATTTTCTACTGTCTGCTTCTTCCCCACAATTTTCTCTCCCCAACACACGCGGAAGAAAAGAGATTAAACCCGCTACTTGTTGCGGTGCGCGTTGAAAGGCTCTGCAATCACTACTAGCACCACACAAACACACACATAACCGTTGCGGCCTGAGCGAATCTACCGCAAGGAGGGAAGAGAGAGAGAGAGAGCAGCGACAACTCAACATGCCCCGGTATCTGTTTTCTTCTGCGGTGCTGCCTATCCTTTGCGTGTTGTTGATATGCTTTGGCAGTACGGCTGTGCACGCTGAGGGGAACAAACCAAAGGAAGTGCAAATACCGGACCCTGTTGATCTTTTTGTGCCGAGCCAAACGATTGTGGAAACACAAGGCCAAAGTCAAATAAGGGATTCCTTTGTATCACCGTCCCTCGCCAGTGCTGGTGGAGTGTTGGTTGCACTTGCCGCGGGTAACATCAACTTTAAATACTCCAAGGAGGATCGTATTTCAGTCGATTATGCTGATGTTCTGGCGGCGTACTTTGACTCTGCGGAGAACTGGTCGTCTTTTGTCGCTAAGGTCCGTGCAAACGAATGGAAGGCGTACAGCATCTTTAACACGACCACGCAAGAGGAGCATAACGACCGTGTGAGATACGCGGTCCGACCCACAACAGTTGCAAAGGGCAACAAGGTTTTTCTACTTGTGGGGGGCTATCATCAGAAGTATGATCCTTCATCGAAGAAGTGGACTGCATCCTCACAGGGTCTTGATTTGCTCGTGGGTGAGTCCACGCAAGATAAACTCATCCAATGGGGCGAACCCACCTCATTTGCACCACAGATCGAGCCATCTGCTACACAACGTGGCCTGGACCGGTTTGTTGGTGGTGGTGGCTCAGGCGTTGTGATGGAGGATGGCACGCTTGTGTTTCCTGTGACGGCGAGGAGGACAGGAGACAACGAAGCTGTGTCTATGATCATTTATTCGAAGGACGACGGCAAAAATTGGTTGCTTCCACTTGGGATGCTCCCCGTGGGGTGCACTGACCCCCTCATCGTCGAATGGGAGCAGGGGCAGCTTGTCATGGTTGCCCAATGCAATTCTTTCTTAAGGGCGTTCGAGTCGAGGGACATGGGGGCAATGTGGAGGGAGACTGTCAGGACACTCACACGCGTGCATCCCAGGTTGTTACCAGACTCTTTGCGAACAGCTGAGAGAGTGGGGTCCATCACCACTGCGACCATTGCTGGAAAGAAGGTCATGCTGTACACTCAGCAAGAGATTCCCCCTGGGGGCACGTTGCAAGCCACCGTGTCTCACCTTTGGCTCACTGACAACAACCACACGTTTCACGTCGGGCCCATTTCCATGGAAACTGTCACGACACCGACGTCTGGCAACACCCTGCTCTATTCGAAAAATGCGTTGTACTTTTTACAAGAGAGGGGCTCTTTCAGGGCAAGCAGCCTGGCTCTTGCTCCCCTAACGGAGCAGCTGAAGACGATTACGTCCATCTTGGAGACTTGGGCAAAAATGGACTCCTTCCTCTCCAAGTCGTCGGTGCCCACGGCCGGTCTGATTGGATTCTTGTCGGATGCATCGGGTGAAGGAACTTGGAACGACGCGTACCATTGCGTGGATGCAATTGTGACGAATGCAAAGAAGGTCGAAAATGGCTTTAAGT